CAGTCCATGTACGTTTTGTCAAATTGTTCATTCCCGTAGTCTGTTTTTGCTGAGAGGTTCAGTCCGGGTACGTTTTGGTAGGTTGTTCAGTCCATGTACGTTTTGTCAAATTGTTCATTCCCGTAGTCTGTTTTTGCTGAGAGGTTCAGTCCGGGTACGTTTTGGTAGGTTGTTCAGTCCATGTGCGTTTTGTCGAGTTGTTCAATCCGTCTACTTTCTGGTGTGCCCGCCGTTATAATGCTGCAATATTGCTAAAAACGTCGTAAAACCCAGCTCACTTAACCCGTCAACGTTTTGTTGAGTATTTCAATTCGTGTACATTTAGTGACTTGTTCAGTCCATGTCCGTTGGTTGAACGTTTCATTCTCGCCATCCGTTTTTGTTTAATTCTTTACTTTGTGAAAGTGGCGAAGTACCCAAGTGTGTTAAACTGCGTTGGTATATTTTACTTTTATCTGGCTTCTTCACCTCTTTACGTATTCTCTCCAACTACAAGCCCAGAACTTAGACCATGGCAGGGATGTATCAATCAAACACGCAACAATAGAAAGACAGTGACAGTAAAACATGAGTTTTACAAACTCCACGGGACTGTTTAAAGGTGTACACTGTTGAAGTGTGTTCGCTGTATACGTAGGTCGTAACTCGCGAAACCGTGTCCGCCATTTTTAGATCTTCCCACTATTCACATACACGAACATACCATTGACGGCATGCTGTACGAGGACAATGTATGCAAGAATGGCCGACAAATAGCAGCTATTTGACCACCAAGACGAGTATAAGAGGCATCTGTAGGCAGACTGATTCCTAGGTTAGCTGGATGAATACTGATGCAACGTTTACCTCATTTGACCCATGACAGTGGGAGTCTTTTCAGCTCATGCGATTACGATTTGAAATTCTCCATTGATGTTTGAAGTTTTATTCGTGTGTTCTTATATGTCGATTGTTAACACTCTAAATCCCTTTTCATCCTTCAAAGCTAACGAATTTAAAAATCTAAACAGAAATGGCTCTCTTCATAGCTATGCTAATTTGATTTTCGTCTCTTGATTTTCCCCTCGACTCAAAAGATAAATTTTATACGCAGTGTTTTAAGAACATTACTTTCCGAACAAGCAGTCTGTTCTCTGTTAACGACATCCAGCCAACAGTGCGGCCTTGGGTGTGTTTTTTATTACTGGCGATATTTTAAACTGAGAATTGAATTATGAATAATGAAATTAGAGAACATTATGACAGCGTTATATCAGTGGTAATTTTCCCTAAACTGATAAAAGCAGCGGTAACTTGATTCGACCGTTGCTATCTCCTCTTTCTAGCGGAATGACACGCTTGAACAAGTGAGTAAATCGGTTGTCTAATCACTCTACTATCGGCGTAGTGTTACACAGAGATGATCACCCGCGGATTAGCTGATAGCAGATGAAACACTTACGTCACACGGTGATAGTGGGTTGCGATGGTAATACGATATGTCTGTATAACGTTCTGGATGAGATCACATCAGATGAAAGTAGACGACCTATATATAAATCGTGTCTCCACAGAGGTTGTGAGAGAGGGAGGTTATTATTATCGTTGTTGATAATAGTAATAATAATATCACAATAGCTATAAAAATGTGATTATCATGATAATTACTTGAAGAAGAATAACAGTTTTTATTTATATTTTATTTAATATTTTCAATTACTAGAATAATAATGAATGCAAAAATGATAGTTCTTAATAATGGTGATGATAACGATTTTAATAAAAGTGATATTTAAAAAAAGTAACAATTATAATACCAATATCAATCATTTTGTTGAAATCTAATATTGTGTGATTGTAGTGCCATAGGACTATCTCCTAATTGTTATTGATATTGTTTTCTGTCTTGTTTACCAAGACAGGCGTGGAGTCTTCCCACTGATGACATTCTTACATTGTCAGCTGGCCATGACAGCTAGGTTAACCTCTTATGGTCATGTGGACAAGGTGATAAAACTCAGGCTTGTGGCTAGCACAAAACATGAGTGAATGAGTGAGTATGGTTTGACGCTGCTATCAGCAGTATTCCAGGAATTGTACCACACATTGTACCCATGTGAGGAATGGAACCTGTGTCTTCGGCGTGACAAGAAACGCTTTAACCACTAGGCTACACAACGCCTCTACAATAACATGAAGATTAGCTTACTATACTGTTGTCCCACCTGCTTGCAATCCAGGCACAGGCGACAGCATCCATGATGTAGTGGATAGAGCGTCTGCCTTGAGAGTGAAAGGTTGGGGGTTCGATCTCAGCCGTGTCAAACCAAAAGATGTTAAAAGATGGTACTTGTTGTTAACTTGCCTGGGACTCGGCATTAAGGGGATTAAACAAGGACTTGTCAGCTTGGAGTCAGTATGTGTTCATGTGAACTGCGGCATGGTATCTCAGTGCACTAATAAACAAATTTTAAACCAGACAAAGACAAGACACACACACACACACACACACACTCACACTCACACTCACACTAAGCTTCTAACAATCCACACACACACACACACACTCACACACACACACACACACACACACACTCACACACACTAAGCTTCTAACAATCCCCTAAGCTTCTAAGCTTACCCACATCATGTTCCACCAGACAAAGTCTCTCCAGTGCATGCAGCAGGTGACTGCAATGGCTTGACATGTGTGCAACACATTGATAGTATTGTCAAACATTTTACTTGTAATGTCAAATAACAACTTTACTGCATGTAGGAGAAACAGGCCATGGTTGACATGTGAAGATCATTGAAACCGCCGGGGTTTCTGGGTAGAATGTGTCCCCAGTAACTTAAGCTTTTCGTAATAGACGACGAGGATCAGTGGTAAGATTCGTATGTCAGCGTAGTGACCCGAACTAAATGATGAATTATCACTACTTTCGGGGAAGTAATACTTAATAATTGATGTTGCTTTAGATATGTAGATTGAGACTTATGCCCTACCCAGAGATAGGCCTCGATAGTCACAAAGTAGGAAGCACTCTTATTGAATAATTTATCTTCATTAAAACCATTTTCATCTAATTCATAACCTGGCAACTTCCCCTCACTTTAACTGCGTAATATTTGTAATTCATTCCTCCAAGGATGCAGATTGGGATAAAAGGAAATGATTTTTTTTCATCAAGATTTAAAAAAAATGTAAGATGGGAGATATTTTGTTTGTAATATTTTATTTTGTTTTAACAAACTGTTAAGGCATCTATGTACTTTAGCTGTTCATGTGTCAGAATCCCATGAAGGGTGTTCACTGTCTGTCTGGACTAAGTATGTTGTATTTCATCAAGCAGAGGAAGAAGGAAACACACACAGCAATGTTCTTCCTCTGTCGGTACAGGATGACAAGATGATGTGAAGTGGGAAGGGGTATGATGACACACCATCAACCGACCGAACCTGTGAAGATCCGGGGTAGAATAGGCCTTCAGCAACCCTTGCTTGCCGTAAAAGGCAACTGCTTGTTATAAGAGGCCACTAATGGGGTCGGGTAGTCAGGCTTGGTGACTTGGTTGATGCATGTCATTGATACCAATTGCGTGGGTCGATGCTCATGATGTCGATCACTGGATTGTCTGGTCCAGACTTGATTATTTTCAGACTGCCGTCATATAGCTGGAATATTGCTGAGTGCGGCGTTAAACAACAAACAAACAACGGCCAGCCTAGGGTTGTTGGGACCAATGCTACCCAGGAATCCCCAGGAGTTATCAATGTAGTCCTCTGGAAATTGGGACTTGGGGACATATTCTTCCCCAGGTCCTAAGGGGATGTTTGTAGGGGGTGACATGTCAAATCTTTTGAAATGAATGGAAATATATCCGTTAGTATGCAAGCCTCAAGCCACTTTTTCATAATTTAACACAATCTTCTACTTCTGTTTGAATTTCCGTACTGTTATTTCAATTTAAAGATGCAACATGTTGAGTTGTCATGCTAATTTCATGACAAAGTGCGAGGTTACAGCCTTACAGCAAATGCACATCTGATAGATCAAGAATACTGACTCTCAAATATACAGCTTTTATCTGGCTTCATCATCTTCCCGAGTCGAGGGAGTTAATTACCTTTAAAAGTCCAGTTCCCACCCTTGCCGAACTATGCTGGAATTACCAGCCTCGATCGTAGCAACCAGTGGCTATTACGAGTTATGTCCATTCTATGTCCTTCCTATTGACCAATCAGATTCCATCACTCATATCACTTGCATTTGCTTCAAACAAAATGGCAGTGCCCTGTCAAGACATTCTGATCGATAATCAAGATCTATATTGTAATAAACTGAGTCTTACCCCACGAAATGCATCAAATCAATTAAGCACCTTTAATGAAAAGATATGCAATATATCTGTCAACGCAGAGTTGGCGGTACACATGCTTTGCAAATCCTACAGTCTACCGAAATCTGCACGTTGAAATCCATGTTCAGGAACCGGATGTCTTCTTCGTTACGTGTTTTGATTAGACTTTGTATAGACTTGTTAGTCCAGCCAAAATGTATCTCTGTAATTTGAGCATAGTTTGGCAAGGGTGGAAACTTGACTTTTATAGTCAGTTAACGCCCTTGCCTTGGGAAGATGGGCTTCATTGACAAATAGTATTCGAAATCTCTGGGACACGGACGATATATATTGGGCCATGGTCTGTATAGTAGCCTTTAACAGCTGTTCGGTTGATTTGGTTTAATGAGCCCCCTGTGTGGATTCCACATGATCCATCGAATCCTGGCCTTCAATACAAACATATTGGCCTATACAATGTATAGTGTTCATAACGCTAGCTTGACACCCTACAAGCTTTAATCTCTTTGTGCCTATATTTCAGGGATAAGTACGACCTGCTCTATCTTACTGTGGCCCTTTGACTTCATTATAGAGCCTAAGGTTAACCAAGTTCAGGCTAATAACACATAATGCGTTTGTAAACTGTCAATAATGCTCTCCCTCATTCTTCTACAGGGTCCCCCTCAGCCAGGGCAACCTTTCAAGTTCACGGTGTCGGAGTCATGTGATCGGGTGAAGGAGGAATTCAGCTTTTTGCAAGCCCAGTATCACAGGTAAGAACAAGCATGGCCCCTGTCTGACAGCCCCATGATCATCACACACTCATCATGGCCGCCATTACAAAAAGTTAATCTTTGAGTGCTTCTGGGTCTTCAAAGAATTGTAATGAAAATTTGACATGTTTGATGAACAAGATTAATTTTCTTAAACTATTTGAGTTAGGTTATTAAATGTGATTTTTAATTTGTCCTTTTTTTCCTAAAAAATGAGGAGCTGTTTTCCATTTTGATTTTAATTTGTTTAAAAAAGTATTACATTCCTGATGAATGCTTTTGATTAAAAAGCTGATTAATTTTATCAGCCGTTTGGGGCCCTTAAAGCGGGACACAGTTTAGAATAGGTCCTCAACAACCCATGCTTGTCATAAAGGGCAACTAAAGTAAATGAATCAGGTGTTCATGCTATCAGCCTCTGGTTTGTCTGGGTCAGAATCGATTGTTCACACTCTATTTGTCAGACAGCTAAAAACAACAACTTTTATGGTTGAGGGCACATCAGGTGTGTGATATATCCGAATCGACTAGTCCTTTCATCAACAACTGTCTGACAACTGATACAATTTTTTATTTTTTTTATACAAATCAGTGTTTATACTTGATTTATTATTGCTTTATACTTTGGAACATATTGCACAGTTGATGGAGTTTTACATTATATACATGAAGTAATAATACTTCCACATCAAAGTCAATGTACTGTCAATCAAACAAACTGGTAATTTTGCTGACTAAGGCATTAAGCAACAAACACATAATTACTTTAGATGTGTGATTAACCTTCATGAAGAGCAAGTACTCAATGTTTGTAATCAGGCAAAAACTATTGCCTCATTTCCAAATATTGACTCCTATTGAAAGTCAGAATACACTGATCTGGTACATTAGCCAATGTGAATCTGCTACCGCCAACCGTTGGAACAAATGAATGAAGTAAAACTGCAGTGATGAACAAACTACCCCTTAAACACAGATTCCAGTATTCAACACGTTTCATGTCTTTGAAATGTACATAAATGCGAACATCAAATAAAGAACTCCAGAGAAAGATTCCACTCAGGGAAAAACCCGCCAGAGCCCACAGAGCAGAACATGTTTATTCTTTTGAAGCACTTGTCAGCTTCAGCATTGAACTCACATCTTCTAGCTAAAGGCCATTATTACGAGGTTTGCCCTGTCGAGTTACAACCGGTCAATTCACTGAAGCAGACTTTATAACAACCCCAGGGCTGTGAACGCCATGATGCTTGTCAGGGCCTAATTACTGTAATTCAGTACAGACAGGTTGCAAAGCTTGGCTGTGTTGTGTGGACCTTCAGGAACACTTACAGTCTCCACTGCTGAACTATCAGTCAGGAATAATTGTGGTCTGCCAAAGAAACGGTAAATCTTTATCCACATGCGACTCCGCGTCTACCTTACAGAGACGAGTCAATCAGTGTGGTAGTGCATTGTGATTGGTCATCCGACATGTTCGGTCATGCATGATCGGACCACCGATTCGGAATTGGACATTGGTGCGGAGGTCAAATGTCATGTCAGTTTCAGTGTTGTGTCTTACCATTGTCCGTTGGTGCAAATCATGCAATTGGGCTCATGACTAATAAATCAATGATCAGGTCACTAAGGGACTAAAAGATGCATCATGGGTAAAAGCAGAAGGCGTATTTTGTTGTGAGTTTCCCAAATAGGCATTCGGTTGGCAGAACTCAGTAATTTAACATAATCGATTACATTTGATTAGGAATAAAAAGGTTTATTATGGATGGATTTTGAATTAAATTGTTTGGGCCACTTTGGTTAATTTGTTATACTCTTAGTGAATTAGAGTCTCAGCTTCAGATGCAGTCAAATGACAGTTTTTGCTATTTTGGTAAATGTTTAAAATTAATTTACATGGCTGATTCATGCCAGTTAGATTTTGGGCTCATGAAAACTATAAGTGAAAACAGAGAAGCAACTTTTTCATCCTTTTTAATCTGGTTCTAGTTTCAAATTAGTGTATGAAGGAGTGATGAATGTATGGAAGTCTGATATCGGGCGCTAGTCATCAGTTACAACTGAACATATCCCTTACTGTTGCAAGCTTCTCAATGCCACATCATCAGATTTGGGGCATAATTTGAGATTGCTATCCAATTTCACTTAATGAGATCTTATTTTCATGAGGTGACCATTTTGAAAAATATCAACTTCTCACTATTGGATCTTTGATTTTCATTTTATTCTGTCGGTATTCAATTCTGTGGTGCCCAGTCATTGATGAACTGATATGCTTCATGTTCTGATGGATTACAAGTGAAATCCTTATCATGGAGTTTAAAAATCTTTCCAGGTTCTCTTGTCAGTTGTTTAACTTTGACATCTTTATGATAAGTGAATGGTGTCAGAAACGTTTTTAGTCCAAAGTTTATAAGGTTTCATTTTAATGACATTCCTTACTATGTTGTTACTAAGTATTACTACCTGTTATGTGCAATAAGATATTTCTTCTTTAATGTGAACCAAGTGGGACATAGGGCCGAACTTGCATGTATTTGCTTTTTATAGCATCGATAGGTCACACCGAAGGTCTAGGTTGGTATCCCACATATGTATCCAATGTGTGAATCCATTTCTGGGTGCCCTTTGAGATATTTCTGGAATACTGCAAAGAGCAGCTTAAAGGCGTCCTCACTCATTTAACTGCTATTTTTGTCTTGAGTCGACAATCAAACTGAAAGCCTGTTGCACATGTTAGAGAGTTTAATTTTCTGGCAAAATTAGTAAAGTTTAGTACATTTGGAGGATGATAGCTCATAAAGCTTTAAAAATAGCATGTTTTAAAATAAAGTATTTTTTTCCAGCTTTGAAACTCTGGGTCTCAAAGTAGGTCCCCATTTTGCTAGATTTGGTCTTCCTTACATCAAAGGTCAAGGTCAGCAGAGTTTAAATGTTTAAACATTAGGAATATTTATTTCAAGTTGTCTGATTATACAGGACACTGTCCATTACTGCCCATTCAGGTATATGTCTGTTTTCAATAGATAAAAGTAATTATTCATAACTTATTCATTGTCATCTATTATGGTTCACTCATACATAAGGTCATACATTTAAGTTTTTTAATGTTAAAGGTCAAGGTTAAGGTTAAGGTCAAGGTCAACAAGGTTAAATTACAATTTTTTTCAATTGTGTTGATTGCTTTCTTACAAACAGTTTTCAAATATTCAAAATGATATGTAAACTGTGGAGACTTTTACAATTCAAACCCTCTGTGTTGTGTTGAGTGTGAAATACCTCATAAACCACTGAAATTCTAATTTCAAAATTGATATTTAGAAGGCACCATATGGTGTTCTAGTTTCATTAGACGGTCCATTCTCTTGACATCAGAGATATATGGTTATTTCTACATGTGCATTAGGGCGTGCAGTACTTGATTGTGAACATTGTAATACTGTAATGGTCATACCATTTGGAATACGGACATTTAATGTCGACATTTAATGTCGACATTTACTATCTATCACAGCTGTGCCATGACAATAACATTGTGATTGAGGGGCACAGATAGCAGGGCTTTTGAATTTGAACAACTGGAAAATATATTCTTGCACAAATAAGAGATGGTTAACTGCAGAATAATTTCTGTTAACATTTACAATCCTTAGTGCATAGTCCAGACGGATGGCTCTTAACAAATATATTGGCTTTATTAGTTTCTTTTACTCTCAGTGATATTAGTTGACATTGTTGTATAGATGGGTACCCAGTGGGATGTTCATACAAATATGTGAACATGGGTTATTGACAGTGTACAGCAGTCAGTTACTATGAGATTCTCCTCAGGGAGCTGACAGAGGTATTGGCAGTGATGTGTAAACATTGGAAGTTGTGTCCTTTGGATAGTATTCTGTGAAGTATGTCAAAACTACACAGAGGAATTAATGAAATTAAGGTTGATAAAAACTAAGCAAATAGAAGCTATTTGAGAGTGTTGCAGGTGGATTTGTCAAAATGTGATGGATAAATATATCTAGCATTTGTAAGAGACCCTGGTTGGGATAGGTCCCCAGGACTCTGTTACTTGTCAGGGATAAACACGGCAACTAGTCCGTTAGTCCGGGACTAGAAACAGTCTAGACGGAATAGTTTTCTACAAATTTGGTTATTTGACACTAGCTCTGAATGACCTACAGACTAGTTGGATATGACCAATGGCTACCCCTGCTTGTCATAAGAGGCATAAAATGGATTTGGTGGTCAAGCTGTGTGACCTGGCTGTGTGACCTGGCTGTGTGACCTGGCTGTGTGACCTGGCTGTGTGACCTGGTTGTGTCACCTGGCTGTGTCACCTGGCTGTGTCACCTGGCTGTGTCACCTGGTTGTGTCACCTGGCTTGCTGTGTGACCTGGCTGTGTGACCTGGCTGTGTGACCTGGCTGGCTGTGTGACCTGGCTGTGTGACCTGGCTGTGTCACCTGGTTGTGTCACCTGGCTGTGTGACCTGGCTTACCTGGCTGTGTGACCTGGCTGTGTGACCTGGCTGTGTGACCTGGCTGTGTCACCTGGTTGTGTGACCTGGTTGTGTGACCTGGCTTACCTGGCTGTGTGACCTGGCTGTGTCACCTGGTTGTGTCACCTGGCTGTGTGACCTGGCTTACCTGGCTGTGTGACCTGGCTGTGTGACCTGGCTGTGTGACCTGGCTGTGTGACCTGGTTGTGTGACCTGGCTGTGTCACCTGGTTGTGTCATCTGGCTGTGTCACCTGGCTGTGTCACCGGACTGTGTCACCTGGCTGTGTCACCTGACTGTGTCACCTGGCTGTGTCACCTGGCTGTGTCACCTGACTGTGTCACCTGGCTGTGTCACCGGACTGTGTCACCTGGCTGTGTCACCTGGCTGTGTCACCTGACTGTGTCACCTGGCTGTGTCACCTGACTGTGTCACCGGACTGTGTCACCTGGCTGTCACCTGGTTGTGTCACCTGGCTGTGTCACCTGGTTGTGTGACCTGGTTGTGTCACCTGGCTGTGTCACCTGGTTGTGTCACCTGGCTGTGTCACCTGGCTGTGTCACCTGGTTGTGTCACCTGGCTGTGTGACCTGGCTTACCTGGCTGTGTCACCTGGCTGTGTCACCTGGCTGTGTGACCTGGCTGTGTCACCTGGTTGTGTCACCTGGCTGTGTCACCTGGCTTACCTGGCTGTGTCACCTGGCTGTGTCACCTGGCTGGTTGTGTCACCTGGCTGTGTGACCTGGTTGTGTGACCTGGCTGTGTGACCTGGCTGTGTGACCTGGCTGTGTCACCTGGTTGTGTCACCTGGCTGTGTCACCTGACTGTGTCACCTGGCTGTGTGACCTGGCTGTGTGACCTGGCTGTGTGACCTGGTTGTTTCACCTGGTTGTGTCACCTGGCTGTGTCACCTGACTGGTAGCGTGTTGTCAAACCTCAATGGTGTTCATCGTTGCCTATATTTTCAGTCACTGGTTTGACTGGGCCCGACTGGATTATATACAGGCCATATCCTGTATTGTGCAGTAGTTCATGTATTGTGCAGTAGTTGATTTATGGTGTGGAAGTTGAAGCATTGTGCAGGAGTTGATGTATTGTGCAGTAGTTGATATATTGTGCAGATGTTGACGTATTGTGTGTAAGTTGATGTATTGTGCAAGAGTTGATGTATTGTACAGAAATTGATGTATCGTGTTGAAGTTGAAGCATTGTGCAGGAGTTGAAGCATTGTGCAGGAGTTGATGCATTGTGCAGTAGTTGATGTGTTGTGCAGAAGTTGATGTATTGTGTGTAAGTTGATGTATTGTGCAGTAGTTGATGTATTGTGCAGAAATTGATGTATTGTGTGTAAGTTGATGTATTGAGCAGGAGTTGATGTATTGTGCAGAAATTGATGTATTGTGCAGTAGTTGATGTATTGTGCAGAAGTTGATGTATTGTGCAGAAATTGATGTATTGTGCAGTGGTTGATGTATTGTGCAGAGGTTGATGTATTGTGTGTAAGTTGATGTATTGTGCAGGAGTTGATGTATTGTGCAGAAGTTGATGTAGTTCTTCGTGTTTCAGCCTGAAGTTGGAGTGTGAGAAGCTGGCCCAGGAGAAGACAGAGATGCAGAGACATTATGTGATGGTAAGCATTCAATCTCACAAACTGTGCAGTTGTGTCCCTTTATTGTCCCAAGATCTGCACTTGTCCTAGGGTTAAGACACAATTGTTATTGGGGCCATCAAATATATCAGTATTTTGGGACAAGCAGAGTAATGACCTAAGACCATAATGCCAATAGCAGGACTTGGCCCGGACCTTATCACCATCAGGCCTTCACCTCACAGGTGGACACTGGGAGTCATCATGACTCACTACATATTGTTTGAGAGTCATGAACACAATTAAGAGTCATGCTAACGTTCAGCCTACAAGATTATTAACAAGAAATAACTTCAAACAGAATATGTCTTTATTTCATCCCTTCCCATTATGAATATGGAAATGCCTGTCAGTATCAAACATTCTGTTGATTGAAGCACATGTGCAAATAGAACAATTTCTGCGTCAGTCCTTTGATGTTGCTGTAGGAAATGGTACTGACTGGTATATATATGTTGTATTAAATATGACTCTACAAACATATAATTGGGCCTCTATTGGATGCAAACCACATCAAATACGCAGGTCATGTGAAACCCTGTGTCATGTGAAACCTTTGGTCATGTGAAACTGTCATGTGAAACCATGTGTCATGTAAAACCCTGTGTCATGTGAAACCCTGTGTTGTGTGAAACCATGTGCCATGTGAAACCCTGTCATGTGAAACCCTGTGTCATGTGAGATTCATGTGAAACCCTGGGTAATGTGAAACCCTGTGTTGTGTGAATCCCTGTATCATGTGAATCCCTGTGTCATGTGAAACACTGTGTCATGTGAAACCATGTCATGTGAAACCCTCTAGTGTGAAACCCTCTCTAACAGAGTTATTGAGCTTCACTGTATTAAAAATTGACAGCTAACCTCCCAATCAGCACATATCAGGGTTCCATTTTCACAAAGTGATCTTAGCACTAAGACTGTCGTAACTCCCATGCCATAGACTTATAAGTGTTGTAGCACTAAGATCATGGTTTGATATGGAACCCAGTTTCATGTCAGGAGCTAACATTGTTCCTGGGCTAGAGAAACCTACTGACATACATTCATACATGTTAGTCCAGGGCTGGTAGAAATTACTTATATTGCGAGAAGCTGTCAGATATTTTCCATATTGGTATTAAGTATATATTTGCTTACCTAGGATTTCAGAACAGGCGATTTGATGATAGAGAACACTGAGTAAGAGTGACAGCTTGTCAGATAAAGTCAGTTTTTACAAAGCTGTCCTCCATGGTACCAAAGACATGTGTGTGCTATTCAATGTCCTTGTTGGTATTTTTTGTCCCATGTTTTTTGTCTTGACGTAGTTAACTGAATATGTTGCCATTTTGGCATCATTATTTTAGATTTTCTTGGCAGTTTGGCTGTTTAACATTTTGTATGCACAGATGTCTTTGTGAGTGAGTGAGTATGGTTTTACGTTGTTTTTAGCAATATTCCAGCAATATCATGGCGGAGGACACCAGAAATGGGCTTCACACATTGTACCCATGTTGGTAATTGAACCCGGGTCTTCGGCTTGACGAGTGAACACTTTAACCACTAGGCTACCTGACCGCCCCTAGGTGTCTTTGAGATGAAACTTAAATAAGTTTCTATTTGTCAAAAAGAAAATAGTGCATTTTGGACTGTAATGTTTTGTAAAAAAGTTACAGTAGGATGTAGAAAGACCCGGGTTTGATTCCCAACATGGGCACAATGAGTGAAGCCCATTTCTGGTGTCCCCTGCAGTGATATTGCAGGTATATTGCTAAAAACGGCGTAAAACCATACTCACTCACTCATAATAGAGTGTATAAAAGAATGCTTTTGGATATCAAATTTCTATTCAAAATGTACAGCCATACGTTTCTTTGATCTGTTATAAATTACACAAAAAATCATTCATAATCATTCATGTCAATATGCAACCAATATTTATTTTCACTGATGGAATAACATCCTTGATATTTCAAATAATGAAAAACTGGTTCTTTGATATACTATTGCTAGATTACAGAAAACATTACCAACTGATTATGATCAATAATTGATTGGTTTGACAAGCTAGTTATGACCCATGATTGGTGATGAAATCCCAACGGATTCCCTGACCTAGTACTAATGTATTCCTAACCAAAAGGGGTTATCACATACTCCTGTCTTTTTGTCAGAGTTGAGAGTCATGAATTCTATAAAATTACTGTGGATATTTCAAAAAGCAGTAATTACAACAGAAGCACATGCTTTACTGAATACAATCACTTAGAGCTTGCGTCTTTTCCATTACTTTACGTCTCACTTACTTTACGTCTCACTTACATGATTGGCCCCCTCGACGTCCCCTTGGCACTTTGTACAACCCCCAATCAGGAATATCAATCCCCCCTCCCATCTCCATCCTCGTCCATGATTACAGTGTACGACACGTCTGTTCTTATAATCAGTGAGAATAGTATCTCAAGAGCTAAATGAATAATTTAGGAACTCTGCCTTGTTTTAGATGTAGCAACTTGCATATGAGCCGAGATAATTTCGTCCAAGAGGCCCCTTATCTTGCGTCTAGATAGATTTCCTCTTCCCTTCCTTCCTGGTTTTGCCTAATCTGTAGATGGCGAGCGCTCATACCCCGGCTGTCGATATCGGCAACGCAGAGGGCCCGAGTTTCTCCTTAATTTTCTGATTACAGCCAAGGCTAGTCTTGGATGCATTAAACAGAGCTGTCCATATTGATTTTTAGTTGTCGCTTTCATCTCTCTCCTTCCCTGCTCAACCCAATCATGTCAGCTCAATAATTATATCGGGCCGTGCATATTGGCTTCCAAAATGGAATTAATTTGTTCCTAACACGAAATGTCGCCTGCCTGGGGCGGTGGAGAGGGTTGCCCCAAGCTGGGTTCGAACCCAGATCATCGCTCATCCTCATCGGTTTTGATTGAAGGAATTACACCTGTTTGAAATGATGAAGGTGGATAATATAATAATAATAATAGTGTATATTGTGTGCTAGGTGATAGAAGATATTTAACTGGGCCTTGCTGATGTAAGCTTTTTAATTGTCCACTGCCTATCAGTGTCAGTACACATAAAACCAGGATTTTTTGTTTAATTTGAAGTCATAAAACACTACCAGATACATCCATATTTGATATTTTAGTAATGTGATATCAAGATATACCGTAAATATTAAGCATTATGTTTTACTATTCATGAGGAAATTCAATTTTTAATGAGCAGGTAATGGGTTTTTTACCTGGATACAGATCTCTCATTATTTGACCTTTGGATTAATTACATGTCTTTTGTTAATCTTACAAAGATGACAGTGGTGTTTTTCATGTTATTGATCAGTACCCCGTGTAGATCCGGATAATAGGTCTTCAGCAACCCATGGCTGTAGTAAGAGGCAACTTATGGGATCGGGTGGTCAGGCTTGCTACTTGGTTGATGCATTGATCGATGCTCATGATGTCAATCACAACATTGCCTGGTCCAGACTGCTGTCATATAGCTAGAATTTTGCTGAGTATGACTAAAGCATCAAACAGACAAAATGTTGTTTAGTAATCTGCATTATCAGAGTTTTACAAAATCTTTCTGGGCTGCTAAAAGTAAGTTGTTTAATGAAGTAACTACGAGGGGTGTATCAATATTATTTGTCATGAAACGATACGAATGAAAAAAAAACCAACGCAGTTGATATTTAGTGATGTAATTCATGAAACATTGGCTTGAGACCACTGTCCATTATGTTGAAATTACCTAAATCTTACATGTCAACCTTATATTCATTATATCGCTTTGTATCGATACATGACCTCATGATACAATACTTGTATATAGTACATGTATCATATCACAGAGTATTGAGAAGCACCATACAAACAATGAATTGTTACATCCTTTATTGCTAATGAAGACTTAGACATTTTGAAAATTTAGTTTTAGAATATGTCTCACATGTGATATGTGACAACCAGTGATTATTGTAGTATATATTATGTGCATGTATTACTAGTAATATTGCAGTTAGGTTATATGTTGACAATATGTATCATATGTAGACAAAGGTAATATTATAACAGTATATATCACCTGCAACAAAGGTAATATATTTGACAATATATATCATCTGCAACAAAGTAATATGGTGAAAATATCATCTACATCAAAGATAATATATTGACTATACCCGGTATATGTCACCTGCATCAAAGATAATAATTATATTGACTATAGCCGGTATATGTCACCTACATCAAAGATAATATGTTGACTATATCCCGGTATATGTCACCCGCAACAAGGATAATATGTTGACTATACCAAGTGGATGTCATCTGCATCAAAGGTAATATGTTGACTATACCCATTGTATGTCATCTGCATCAAAGGTAATATGTTGACTATACCCGGTATATGTCACCTGCAACAAAGGTAATATGTTGACAATATATGTCATCTGCATCAAAGGTAATATGTTGACAATATATGTCATCTGCGTCAAAGGTAATATGTTGACAATATATGTCATCTGCAGACAAATGGACATCATTATATACTGGATTAGTGTCCTTACTGTGCATATTCTATCACTGTATCTCAAACTCACTCAATTTCGTACATGACATAATGTTGGCTGTTTCAATGTGGTGGAAAGTGATGACGGTCATAGATGCTGACTGGCTTTGTGCGACCACCACCCACTGGCATGGTGCTGACAAGCCACGGATGTGACCATGGAGTCAATCTTGGATTCAACCCACAACCAGTGCATCCTGACAGTTACGGGACACAACTCTGCACAGTTATAGTTATAGCATCTTAGACCACTGAAGGAACAGTGCCCCTCACCACCAGTCAAACTGGTTTGATATTTTAGATTTTCATACTTTCAAGGCTAATGCTGTTCCTTTTCTTTTCAGTACTATGAGATGTCCTACGGACTCAATGTGGAAATGCACAAACAGGTATGTTCGTTTCATATGTGTTCATGTATTTAGCAATCTCATTAAAATAAGATCTTAGTTCTCGCTACTGATAAACAAAGATCTTTGTTTAGCGGTAGCGAGAACTAAGAGCTGATTTTAGTGAGATTGTGTATTTAGTATTGAGGAACCGACAAACAAATGCAGATCCAGTGGTCAAAATGTCTGACATCTTGACACGTTACTAATGCTATCAACCAGTTGTTTGTCTGGATCAGATTTTGTAAGAAACTCTTAACGGGATCGGGTGGTCAAGCTAGCTAACTTAACTGATGCATGTCATTGTATAACAACTGCTTAGATCAATGCTCATGATTTCAATCACTGGATTGGCTGGTCCAGACTTGATTATTTACAGACTGGTGCCATATAACGTGAATACTACTGAGTGCAAGCGTCAACAACAAACAAACTGGATCAGATTCAATTATTTGGTTAGAGGCTGTCACGATATGTCTGGAATATTACTGCCTGCAAAATAAGACATTCACTCACTCTTGATATTTACATAAGCATTATCTTGTTTCAAAATAAGGATTGATAAAAGAAAAGTAAACTTCAAAAGCAACTTGCATTGTCAACATTCATTTTACAATATTTACCTCTAAGACAGCATTTGTGTGTATTGTTTTTAAAAAGCATGAAAATTTAAATCCCACCCACACATTCAGCGGAAATGATGTTTGTTTATGGTGAATAACTAAACAATAAATCAAAACCAAAATTCTTCCTTGAATAGTTTTATTCTCACATGACCGTCAGTGTGCATTTTCTGATCCTTCATTACAATCAGTACTAGCTGCGAGATCCAGCTGCGAGTCCATGATAATATAAGGAACGGGAGAACGCCCCAAGATCAATGACAACAAAGCACATGTATGACCAGAAACACTTGTAAAACTTTGAACTGTTTCTTGTTGGTATTGCTAATATTTGCCATCAGCTTAATAGATCACCTTTATCAGGTGCTATGTAAATGAAAGCCTTGGGCCTCGCACTATGTGTAACAGGCAATTGATTTTATATGACTTCTTCACATTCAAGCACGACAAACACGAACCAAATGTACACGCAAAATTTGGTGAAAGCACGTTGCCCCCTGTTTGTACACAGAGGTAAACTTTGCAGACATACAACAAACAGAATAAAATGAAAACAGAAAATGTGAGGAAGAGGCAGTGAACATCCAAACTGGCGGCTTAGTTAATATTTGCTCAATTTTGTAAACAGTTTTTCACGTTGCCTATTAGTGATGCTACCATTAGGAGTCTCAGGAATGATTAATGTGGAGATGTAGTGTTATTGACATGCTGGAAGCGTATGGCGTGTTCGATGGCCAGGGGGCGATGGCACTTGATGCTGATGCCTCTTCAGTGGATGTGATCCGTGTGTGTGATCTGTAGATATCTTCAGTGGATGTGATCTGTGTATGATCAGTAGATATCTTCAGTGGATGTGATCTGTGTATGATCAGTAGATATCTTCAGTGGATGTGATCCGTGTGTATGATCTTTTGGTAACTTCAGTGGATGTGATCCGTGTGTATGATCTGTTGATATCTTCAGTGGATGTGATCCGTGTAAGATCTGTTGGTATCTTCAGTGGATATGATCCGTGTTTGATCTGTTGGTATCTTCAGTGGATGTGATCCGTGTAAGATCTGTTGGTATCTTCAGTGGATGTGATCTGTGTATGATCAGTAGATATCTCCAGTGGATGTGATCCGTGTGTATGATCTGTTGATATCTTCAGTGGATATGTTCGGTTGGTAACTTCTATGAATAAAAATTATCTCTGTGAATGATCTGAACACCCGGCTGTTCATTCTGAGGACACTGGCGGAGTAGCCATGCACATGATTTTCACCTGCACAGTGAGCACATTTAACATGAGTGAATGTGTGAGAGTGTGCCAACAGTATTCGGGTATATCAATGCATGGTTACCAGCATGTTGAGAGGGGAAAACCCGAACGAGGACAGGCCCTGACTGACCATCAGGGTATCAAGACAAAAGAAAAACAATTCTCAGTTGGCCTTGACAATCGTGTTGCTTCTTTCTTTCAGAAAAACCACATGGCAAAAACCAAATACTTCCAGAATATTTCCAAGCTCATCATATTTCTCTATGACAGTAATTTTGTTTCTTCAAAGAATCCTATCATTTTCCATGATCTGGTTTTGATTTGCCAGCCCTCATATGGACCCTGCCAATGTTAAATTTACCCAGATTACACAATCAATATGTGAGACTATTTGCTCAGCTTTATATAAGCATCATCAAACACACCTCGCAAATGTGGCTGCAGTTCCTGGTCTGGCTTACCCTGTGAATTACAACAGCTGAATATGAGCACATATTAAGTGTCTTGATATGGGTATAGCATGGCAGGCGGGCAGGCAGGCAACTGCAGCCCAGAGAGCAGAAAGTTGAAGTAAAGAGACACATCTATCTCATTTAAATAGCAGTATCAGTGTAGTGTTACAAAGGTCCATGTCTGGCGAACTGAAAGGAAGCGATATAATTGAAGTTTGAACGACAGATGTTTAATTTTTGTGCTTTAAACAAACATTTGGATTATGTTTGAAGTTGATTTTTCCTGGATATTTTTTGGCCTGGCGCCTGCTGGGGTCTGTCAACGGATGATTGATGCTGGTTGTTCTCTGGAAGTGGTGTTTTGTGTTTCTTAGACACTAGCTCATCATTGGTCATTTGAAGGTTATTGATTTTGGGTTTTTTGATACTTGTTTAACATGTTTAAATCATTTGATATCTTATACAAGCATCATATTTACAATTATAGTAAGGATGCAATATTACACTCTTCCAACAGCTTAAAAATATCAAAAATCATAACACCTAGTAAAATGATGCATAAAACATTGCAAATAATATATGATATTAATATCAGCATTTTTGTAGAAAAGTTGGGTTTAGATTCTGACTTCTTTCATTTCTCGTCAGAAGAAACAAAGTAATTAACACATCTGGATGCTGATCTTGTTTCTTCAGAGGTTTTACAGGTGCACACAAAAACATGCAACATATATGCAACAGGTGCATGTTTATCAGATTGAAACATCATCTTATATTTCTTGATAATCTGTAGGAATCTAAAAATGAATTTCCGCACACTTAATGCTTCTTCTTGTATGACCTGGTGTATCAGTCTGCGCTACTCCTTTGACAGGTGAGAAGTGGAATAAATGCTGTGAGTTTCTTTGCATGTCTAAGACAGCCCCCGTGGTCTAGTGGTAAAGCGTCCGCCCAGAGAGCGGAAAGTCCAGGGTTCGATCCCTGTTTGATGACAGTAGAAAGAGAGCGTATAGAAATATTCAAAAATTGTATTGCATTTACAATGTTTTCATGTAAGTTCTAAAAGAAATATTTGGGGATTGTATACTAAAACATATCTGCAAATAGAAAATGACATTTTGTTTATGTGTAAATATACGCAACAAAACCCTTTCTATATTTATAAGATAGAGTTGGTTGTACGATTCCGACTGTATTATGAGCATGTGTCTATGAATCACTTGTATTCCCCTATTGCTTGTCAGTCAGTGTCTAAATAGGTACCTTGCAGTTGTCATGGTTATGTAGCAGGGCGTGGTGTCATCTCACAGATGACATCCTTACCTTGTCAGCTTGCTGACGGGGTTAACCTCTTTGGTCATGTGGACAAGGCGTCCGATCTCGGATTAGAAGGTCCTTGGTTCGAATCCCATCACGGGACTCAGACATTCTATAGCCACTACATTGGCGCCCAACGTGGGGCATGTTCATATTAAATTTGAGCAAAATAAGCCTCAGTTCCCTACTATAAGTCCCGAGACGTGCCCTCTGTTGACGGGGTAGTATGTAGCAGGGCGTGGAGTCATTGGCAATTTTATGGCCGCTACAGTAATATTAAGAAACATATATTGCTGTTTAGCTCACCTGACTTTATGCTTGTTTAACCTTTCTGATCTAGTATAATAGATCAATTACTGAGCTTTGTGTTTTGTAAGGTCCTTCAAATCTTCTTCCATCTGCATCTAACAAGCATGTTGCATGATGTCTTTTTTGGCCATATGATCAAAACCATTAAAAGGTCTTTTACTTAATACAAACCTTGGATGTTGCCATCCAGATGTTTGCTGTCAAGAATGTCTATAATTAATTAAAGGGACATTTCCATGTAGCCATGATTAGTTGATACAGAAATATGTTAATCCAAACAATTTCTCTGGGGACATTACTGTCCTAATGAACAGGGTTTTGCCGTAGTGTCATGAATGAAAACAATGCTTGAAAATATTGTCTTGTACAAAGAACTATTTAGAACTCTGTGAAACGGGCTGCCTTAAGTTATTCTTCGAATTTGATTGCATCCTCCAGTGATTTTCCTGTTAACTGCTGCACACAGATTATTGACATCAGAGATTATTCCTCCATGGACTTCCACTTGGCACATGTCATGAAGGTCAAAGGTCAAGGTCATGCAAGCGAAAAAACTAAGTTTGTCGTTACACATTCTCAAAAAGGTATTGATTCATGTATCATGAAACTTGTAATGTACCTTCTCTAGGATGGGGTACTGCTTTGAAAAGGATTTGGTCAATATAAGATAACAAGGATAAGATCATGTTTTAGCCTTTTGTAAGACATACATCATTGTCAATATCTGAGTCTTGGTTACCTTTTTCAGGAATGAAACCTTATACAGTCAAGTCTCGTTAATCCGACAATTGGCTTCATCCGACACTAAGGGTGGGAACCAATTAAATCAGTGCTATTTAGACCCGTTAATGCGACAGTCTTGCACTCCGACACACCTAATTTGCAAGGAATTACCGAAATCACTCATTAATCAGTCTTGTTAATCCAACACACTGATCAGCGTACTCCATGGTCATCTGTCCGCGACTACACAGACCCGTGTTTTGATGCGAAACGAGTCGGCGAGTAGCTGTATATTTCCATGGATGCAGAGATAAATTT